ATGTGTACATACTTTCGCTTTACGAATGTATTTTTCAGCAACTTTACGATAAAGAAGTCTGCCATCGAAAAATCGTACTCCGTGGTAAGGATTGCATGGATCTTAACGAAAATTCATCGCGAAAACTCTGATCGCTGATCGAACTCTGTCCCTTTCAGGCGCTCCTTAAAATATCTTCTGCGTACTTGAACAAAAAGATACCAAACATTCCGGACCTTAAAATCGAAGGCGGAGAAGAAAAATGGTACACTTCGTTATCGATATTTTCTCATAAGTGAAAAGAGTGAGAAGACCGAGACCAGAAATATTCCTATCGTGTTGAATAAACGTTGATTTCAGGAATATGTGGAACGTTTGGCGAACCGTGCTGGAGGAGAACGAAAAGCTTGCCAGAGCACGATTAGCAGCTGTCGAAGTTTTCCAGCAACAAATTGCCGACGATGCGAAAGGTTTAAAGATGCACAAAATTCAAATTTCTAAGAAGGTTAATAGATAAATATACCACACGTCGTGCGGAATATGTACGCGTCGATTGTACAGGACAGGGTGCGTAACGTTGTCTTTTCTATCCAGGCAATCGACCAATTACTAATAGTACAAAAGGAATTGCAACTGTGTGTGCAAGATGTAGACAAGACAAAGAAATTGTACTTTGACGAAGAGCACAGTGCTCACGATGTGCGCGACAAGGCGAAAGACATCGAAGAAAAGTACGTAAGAAGAGAAGTGTGTATCGAACGGGACAATTTCAAATACGGCATTGATCATTTCCAGGCTAAAGAAGAAAAAGGGATCCTTCTTTCAATCGATAGCATCGTTGCAAAAGAACAGTGCAAAGGTAGAGATACGAAGAATAAACGAATAAATTCGGCGATTAAACGATCTATTTTGCTATTTAAACAACACGTGTGTTCAGGTAAGCTCGAAGCGCGACGCTTTAGAAGAAAAATCAACCGGAGCTCGAAATGATTATCTACTTAGTCTCGCCGCTGCCAATGCACATCAGAATAGATATTTTGTAGTGGATTTACAAAACACCATGCAAGTAAGCCAATTTTTACTCGCCAATCTTACTCCTTCTTTTTGATCGTTCGGAAGAAGCGAGAAGCAAGATTTTCTTTCTCTGTTCTTTCCTCGAATAGTATTTGGAACACGGTGTTTACGACAAAGTTGCTGAATATTTAACGTTAATGGGTCGTACAGAACTGTTGACCTGTCTAGCTACGCAAAATAGTTTCGGCAAAATTCGCGACCAAGCGCAACAAGTGAGTGGAAAAAGTCTCAGTGGGTGAATGTTACGTTGGAAGGTAATAACGAAGAAAAATTTTCCGATATTTTACAGCTCACTAGAGAGTACAATATACAATGTTGCTGTTTATATTATCCTGTGTTGAAGCAACATATACAGTATGATTTCGAGCCTTGTGACAATGATCCCGTAGACAGGTTTGTAAGGCACATATCGAAGTATACATATAACAGACTATTATCCTAATCTCGTCGATGCTTTCCAATGCTTTGAAAAAATCATTCTTATTACAGGATAACGGCTGATCATTCTGCTGCCGCTACACTTGGAAAGGAAGCTCGTCGCTGGTCGACGAGAATAGCACGCGAAGTAAGCAGTATCAGAGAAAGTAGTAGAAAATTGCAAGTTCTTCACCAACTGAAAGAGTCTGGACAAAAGGTAGAAGACAATCGTATCGAGTAACCAATCCTTCGAATTATTTTCCTCTGTATCGAGAACGATCTGATGTTTAACAATGGTTCTAGACTGATCCAAACGATCCACAAGGTCCAGATATAGATACGAAAATGGATGAACTGAAACATGTGATACGACGTGCAGAGGTAAGATATGTGGTGAAAAGGTGAATCGCGTGAATTCTCTTCCTTACCTGTTTACTTGTTCATTAGACAGCAAAACTGAAGGCAGAAGCGAGATTAGAATGCCTTCGAAACGGCGGAGGTTTGTTACACGCCTTTTCTTTTATCAGGATGTTACATTTTATTCCTTTTTACTCCTATTTCTCATCTCTTTCTAGTGAGCGTCGACGAGTGGCTGCAGGAGGCTGAAACTTTGAGCGTCCACGATATGCCACGTTCGGCTAGCTCCCTTTCCGTCAGGACGGACGCGTCGGGAACAGCGGTACTTGTACATCGATTATATTATTTCGTTTTTACTTGGAGAAAGAAGAAATATTGAAAAAAAAATTCACGTTTACATTGTGCAGGAACATCCGTCCTCAGATTCGTTCTACGACAGTGACGGAGATGGCGGAAGCGACTTGACGACTGTCGAAAGACCAGGCAGCGCACGGAACGCTCCTCAACAAGAGGAAGAAACAACGGAGGAAAGACAAAGACACGATAGCGAAGAAGTTGATGGTAATTAAGGCGTTCAAGTTGCGAATCGGAAATTTCGAAGATTTTAACGAGAACGCTAATTCTACGGTTCGTTTCTGCAGCTTTACTCGAGGAAGAGAAGCAACGAATAGAAGAGCTTACAGTTGGATGGGACGATCCGTTAGCTGTGAATTGGGATACCGAGGAGAAGGACGAGCAAGCTGAAACTCAAGAAACATCAAAAATGCCTTCCACGCAACAAATATACAAGTGTACCGCGCTTTATTCGTACACGGTACATATACCACCTTCGTAACGCGCATCCGACAAAAAAGGATTTTTTTTATACGTTCTTTCTTTTTTCTTATAGGCGCAAAATCCTGACGAACTGTCAATTACCGAAAGCGAGCAACTTGAAGTTGTCGGTGAGGGTGACGGTGATGGTTGGCTCCGAGCACGGAATTATCGTGGTGAAGAGGGCTTTGTTCCTCAGAATTACCTTGACGTTGAGAAAGACACGACATCCGGTGGTCTCACTTCTCAAGGGCCAACACTTGTACAACAAATATCTTTCTCTTCGGTAGATTACACTATCGACGATCATAATGCAGTCGATCCAGATGCTAATCTACAGATCGCAGCATCGGAAGCTATTGTACAAAATCATATAGGAGGTACATTTTTTTTGTGAAATTTCTTTACGACATCGAGTATCTCGAATATCTACAATTATACGTATAGAAAAATTCAACGAAATAAATTTCTCTTTTTCTTCTTTTTTTCTTTTATTTAGAAATGGAACAATACTGTATCGCTCTTTACGACTACGACGCTACATGCGACGAAGAACTTAGTTTCCTGGAAGGTGATATCGTGAAGGTGTTAAGGAAGGAACCGCACGATGTTGACGATGGATGGTGGGAAGGAGAACTGCGCGGACAGCGAGGATTGTTTCCTTCTTTGATGGTAGAACCTTGTGCAGCAGACGGTTCACCTTTGACTCCACAGGTTAAATTTCAATTGATAAATAATTATAAATTTTTTCGAGCAAATGTGACTTTGCATTTTTTCTTTTTTTTAGTTCCGTTCCATTTTGCTTCAACATTTTTATAATTCGTTTCTCATTTCTTCTACTCTTATTAGGAGAATATAACGCCGCCGAGCTCTGCACCTCCTGTCTTTACACCACCTGAAGTTCCAGAATTCTTGTTGGAAGAAGAATTGGCACAAAGTATGATGAAAGGTAACAGCTAACGCCGAAAAATTGTATTAGAACAAAAGAAAAAACAAATATTCTTACTGTGTAATGTTAAACGCACAGAATTGCAAGAGACGAAATCTGATAATGCAAACAACATCGAACAACAGCAACAAGAACAACAAGAGGGTTTCATAATAAATCTGTCCAAGGACCAAAAATGTCAATATGGCTCGCAGTTCGGAGGCGCTAAATCCGAAGAACCTGGTATAGTAGGTAAGTTAGAAATGATTATGGTTATTTGTCGCGTTTATATTTAATCTGTATGTGAATGTACACAAAATTGCTGCTTAGTCGTAGAAGTATCGGATGAATCGGAAGTAAAGGTAAATAGAGTTTTTTTTAAATTAGTTAGTTGTTTGTTTGAAATGTGTTAGTTGGCTTGATATTTGAAAAAAATCAACCGATACATTGTTCTATTTTTAGGCAGATGACGAGAAGACAAAACAGCCGGCTTCTTTGAATACTGAACAGTCCAAAGAAGATTTCGGACTTGGCGTTGCACAAATTGTGATTACCGCGGCGACGCCAATGGAAGAAGTTGAACATCCATTTCCCGGATTAGAAGAAACCGCCACGGATGAGACAGTGAAGTCTACGGAAAGTATCGAAGGTGATTTACCTTCGAGTACTACTACTGACATGAACGAGAGTGATTGCAAAGAGATCACGGTTATAATGAATGAAAGGGAAGAGCAAGAAGCTACAGAAGTAACCGAAGATATCGAAGAGAAATCAACGGTTGACGATCTACCAACAGACTCGCCACCATTTCCAGTTAGTAGCAGTTCCGGTAGTGAAGCAGACTCGACATCTGGACCAAGCACAACGGAGAATTCTGAATCAGTACCATCACGCGGTACTATAATTGAGGTGCAACAAGAAACAGATGATATTGAGATTGTACCGGAAAAAATGCTCGTAGGAGGAAGGGCAAGTATTCCAGATGAGTTACAACCTGACCAGCTAGAAAAGTTACAAAATCTGAAAGAATCGAATGCCTAGGATTGACTAGACCTCGGAGATCCCGATTATCCTGCCAAAACAAGTTCCAGCATTTGCTGGAATTTTGGAAATCTCCAGAGGTTATTGGAAAGAAAGACTAACGAATAACGGGACAACTAAACAATTTTTATGTTAATATTATGTACACAACTTTTTTGCTAGATGATACTCTAGTGAACTATTTAAAGAAGGGTGTTGCGACTTTTGCAACGTATTTACAAGACATTAATGTACAGTCATAAGGTAATAAAGAAAATTGTCGATACCTATGATAGATGAAAACTTTTAGTTGTTTGTGTACATTTTAAGAGAATTATAATGGTGTTGCATGTAAAAAAAAGTTATTGTTTTATTCATCTTTCATACATTTTCTGTCTTTTTGTATAATTCTCACTTTCGAAATATTCACATTCTATAAATCTCCTACCCAATTCCGTGTTCATGCAAACAATATACGATTACGCAAAGTTAAAGTGGTTGCATCCTAAGTGCACCATCTAATCTTATCACTTCTCCATTCAAATATTTATTTTCAACAATCTGTTGTGCCAACTTAGCATATTCATCTGGACAACCCAATCTTTGTGGGAACGGTACTGTCTTCTTTAAGAATGAAGATACTTTCGCCGGTAAAGCTCCTAACATTGGCGTATCGAATATTCCAGGTGCGATTGTAACAACACGAAAACCAAGTTTAGCAAGATCGCGGGATAACGGTAAAGTCATTCCAACAATCGCACCTTTACTAGCCGAATATGCTACCTGACCCATCTGTCCTTCAAAAGCTGCAACGCTTGCTGTATTAATTATTACTCCACGTTGTCCATCATCATCTGGCACGTTCTTGTACATAAATGGAAGACATAATCTAATACTGTTAAATGTTCCAGTAACATTTATGTGTATACATTTTTCAAAATCTTCTAATTTATGTGGTTCGTTTGAAATATTATTGTATATTTTATG